TATAATGATGCTACAGTGTATTTATTTTTCATGTGCATTCAAATTAGTCTTCCAATATGACATAAAGGTAATATTATTAGGTGTGAAGATAACAATGCATACTTACACAACCATGCTTAAGGAAAAAACTCCCGTCTAATGCATATCCGTGCTTATAGCAACAGAACTCATGATAGCTAGATCTTGGACGTACCTTTTATCTATATCAACAGATGAATAGATAAAGTGGCATTTACAAAGAGCTGAGTACCGCTCTCCTGTAACGATGAACTTGAGTCATGTGTAGGAAAATGGATGCACTTTGAGTCCATTTTGTTAAGTGAAATAAATCAGACATATAAGTTTAAATGTCACATGGTATCTCTTATATAAGAAATCCAAAATGTAAACAAAGAGCAAAATAAATGATGGGTAATAAGAAGTGGAGAAATAGATCTTTCTCAAATGAAAAAGGGATTAAAAATGGATTGAGAGGGAAGGGGAGACAGAATGAAAAAGGAATCAAGATGTGTTATGTACATGTACTAACTACATAAGGAATATTAACATTATTACTATTAACATGTTCTAATAACATTTTTAAATTTTTATTAATAGATTAACATTCTACTTGATCTAAACACACAGTTGATCTGCTTCATAAAATATATTGAGCTCTCCCCTTGTGACTTATGCACTTCCCCCATGGGAATAAATTAATAAAAGCAATTAGTTAATTAACTAATGATACATTAATTAAATATATTTAATAAATTAGTTAAAACAATTATTTCTGATGGTAATATCTTCTGGAAGGTACGTGTGTTTGAGGGTATGACCCCTTAAGCAATTTTATGCTACAAATGTGAGTGGGACATCTATAGATGGAAAGGACTATAGATTTTTCCTTTGAAAATTCTCAGTTCCCAAAAGACCATCAGGCATAAAATACAGAAGCTAAAATCACAGGACCAAAGTCACAGAGAGGTCCAGCACCCTCATTTTTTTTAAATCACTGGTAACTGGCAATAAGAGAACTCAAAAGTAAAGCTGAGAAGTGTGTTAATTAAAGATTAGTAGCTACGATTCATGTTTGTTTTAATCCTAGGATTTCTCAGAGCCATTAAAATGCTTTTATACTTTTAAAATGAGTTTTGTTGTGAATATTTGAGGTGTATGTGGAATGTGTGGGTAGTAGAATAGCAGTGATACACCTCAAACTTATTTTTGTGATGAGGACCTAACATCCACTAATATAACAAAATTCACTAGTAAAATACAATTGTGTTAGCTACAGTTCTCGTCTACATAGATTTCTAGACTTCTAATTTCAAATAACAGAAACATTGTGGTAAACATCATAGCATAAGTGTAATTAACCAAATAATTCCATTTTCCTAGACATTCTTCAGTCTAGCTCTAGCCTTCCATGGAAAAGACTTCAGAGAATATTGTGCAGGCACTAATTAATGTCCACTACAAAGCCATTTTCTACATGCAGTGTGGAGTATTTGGTCAGAAATTGGTCGTAGCTGCCCAATACTAGTCATGATTCTCAAGCTATTGTTTGACTTACAAGTGATGCCCTTTACCTGTAAATTCAATTCTAAATAAATCACATTCTAGCAACATTTAGGTCTGAAACTGTATAGTTTTATGATTTAGGCAACTAACCAGTATCAAGGCTTCTCTACAAAGCTGTTTGACACATTCTATAAGGACACTCCTGTCCTGTACTTACTGAGAGTTTAAAGGGTCCCCAGCTGTAACACATTCCTCTTGAATCACACCCTGGGGGGTGTGATTATTTTTAATTGTCTCAAGATAAGGATCCTTTGTCATAATTTAGATCTTAATTTATGTCACTTTCTCATTAATTATGATGTATATTTAACATCAATTATGATGCTGCAGTGTTAATTTACCAGGACAGTCAGTTACCCAGTTTGATGAACATTGTGTTTTCAGTATCTACTCTAAGACTCCATCTGGGAAATGTAAGCCTTAGATATATCAGCACTTCAGAATCTAAATCTAGGTGCCAACCTCTAGTGAAAATGTGCAATATGAAAAGAAAAATTAACTATCAGGGTGATAATCTTTTCAGAGGAAAAAGATCAATCAGGTATTTACCCCTCAAAAGGGTAGCTAAGAAGAAATCTGAGGAAAACTGAGGGCCAAATATAGAACATGTAGCTTAATAGTAAATCATTTTAAAGTCTTAATATTTTTTGATCTGTAAGTATTAAATAATCTCTAATGGAAGTACAAGAGTCAACAATTATTAAATTTCAATTGGAATAAACTGAAAAGACTATTCTTTCCATGACTACAGAAATATTGCAAGCCACGGTCATCAACGTTTTTTTATTTTTTGGTATTTTTGAGGCAGGGTCTCACTACGTGCTTCAGGCTGGCTTTAGGTTCACTTTGTAGCCCAAGCTGGTCTCAACCTCACAATGATCCTCCTACCTCAGCCTCCAGAGTGCTAGGATTATAGCCATGTGTAGCAAATCATCAATGATTTTTATAACCATGTGATTATTAATATTCATGTTATTATTTTACTTTTTTTGAAGTATTGATACCACACACTAGGCCATGAGCATGGGATGTGAATGTTCTACCACTGAGCTACATTCCACCCTTTCACATTATTCTTTTAGAAACAGGAATATGAGGAATCCATTTTTCTACAGATGGTGCAAATTTAAGCTTATTCATGACTGATTATTACCCCATTGTATAAATATGCCACATATTTCTGTATCCACTGATCTGTTAATAGCCATATTGGCCACTTACAAGATTTAGCTTTCACACTATAGTGTTAAGTGAAATAAATCATACACATAAGAAGAAATATTGCAAGGTTTATCTTATGTGAGAAACCCAAAGAATACAAAATTAAAAGAAAAAAATAAATGATGGCTGTTATGGATTAAAAACTGATGGTCAACTTAACACCAGCTGAATTAAATTGGCATGGTGCTGAGGGTAGATGGCCCACCTGAGGAAAGTTACCAGCATAAAAGGAGACATTAAGAGGAAGTGTGGGATGTTGTAGGCTCTCCTAAATATTGTTGTCTGAAGCCACTGGTTCTCTTCGAGGAGCTTGTCCTGGCTAGCTTCCTTGATATGAATTCAGCCATGGAGGAGTACAGGACCTTGTTGCTGACTGCCTACAGTTCACTTTGGGGGAGCCCTGGTCCTTATATTGAGCATCATTTCACTGCCTGGCTCCAGAGGGAAAGATGTTTGCTGTTTAATCTCTAGGAGAAGTTGTCACTTTGGCTTCCTGACATGTACTTAACTGTTCTCATCATCAGAGGAGCTCAGGACCTCATTGTCACTGAGGATGGCTTTGATACTTTTCAGGGGAGCCCTGGTCCTTATTCTGAGCATCGCTTTTTTGGCTCCAGTGGAGAACCCTCAACCTACTAGCACAGCTCTTTAACTCTGCTGGCATAACTTTCTAGCTTCTACCTCTGACCTCTGGGCATTCCCAGTGCAGATTCATAAAACAGACTTGCACGAGCTATTGTTGTGGGATCTAGACTTCCAGTTGGACTCACAGGGGATAATATCATAGGCACTAGGTCTTCAGCTAGACTCATGAAGGACATTACCATGGGATCCAGGGACTTGGCTAGATTTTCTAGGACATTAGTGTTGTGGACAGATTTCCTGTACTTTCTAGTATTTAACTCTGGGTGACCATCTTAAACTAATACTACACATTCTGTGTCCTGTATGTAACTGTTCTCCTTGCAACCCCTAACTACAATTGCTAATGGGAATCAGGAAGATATTTTGAAACTGGAAAGGGAATCTAGAGATGAAAGGAGGAAGGAGGTGAGGGGAAGAAGTAAAAAGAATTAAGAAGTGTTATGGTTCAAGTATAAATTCCCTATGACAAAGTTAATCATCATTCACTGCAATATGTACTAACAAAACAATGAAGATCATATGGTATCTAATAAAGGACTGAAGCGTAGGAAGCCAGTATACTCCCATAAGGACTAATAATGTTCACTGAAAAGAGAACTCTTTGCCTTTCTACATTCTGATCCCTTTCCCATGCAACAGTAGACAAGTCATGTATAGTCCCACTTTTATTAAGAAGAAACCCCTGTTCAAAAAGAGTAATAAGAACTGTGGGAGTAATAAAACCCAAAATGTGTAATTGTCATTGTACAAAAGAGAGGAAAAGAAAGTGTGCTAAAGGATATAACTGCATGTATATTTAAGTGTATAACATAGATAACCATATTACTGAGTTTTGTTGGATCATTGAACAGAGCTATTTGCAGTCTCACTGTTTGAACATCCACTTTATATGCTTTAATTTTGTAACTTGAACAACTATTTCTAAGATGACAATATGTAATCTATTAACTAGTGATTTCCTACTGTTTATTTTTTCTGAAATTCTGTATAACTTATACCCTTTTTCTGTTTTTTTTTCTTTTTCTCCTTAAATAAAATTAAAAAAAAAGAAGAAACCCAAAATTATGCAAGTACTAGACAAAAACTTTAAAAGGTTCTTGTACTATAACAAGCCATGCACATTTGTATTACTGAATTCAACCAAGGCACCCTGTATCGAGGAAAGACCCTATTATCAAAATATTGATGAAGAAATTTGCCAAACCACAGAGCAGAGAGACATTATGTTCTTCTATATTTCTGAGTTTAGAGAAAGTAAATTAAATTATTAGGTTTAATATTGAATTTACATATATATAATTTACATATAAAATCAAAATTGCAAATAAGCATTCTACAACCTACTCATGAATGTTATGATTTGTATGGACTCATAAGCACTGCAACCCTAAATATATTTTAATCTTATTAGAAATATAATCCCTGTTATGAATAAAAAGCTCCTTTAGCTTTTACCAATGCAAGATTCACTAAAAAATGTTATTAAAATTACATATCCTGAATCCTCAGGGAGCCCAGTACGAGATTCTGTTTTGATGAACAGCTGAAAACAGCCACACTAAGGCACTTACCTTGTGGGTGAAATGACCAAGTAATAAGCTGTCAGTCACTGAAGTATTTGCATCACTTTCCAAGATGTCAATTCCAAAATCTCTGCATGAATAAACTTGGAAGTTTTTCAGGTGAAGATTGCTACTTTTGAAAATCTATAAAATAATAGCATATGTATGGCAAAGGTCTAAGACCCTGTTTTCTTGCAGACTTCCTGAAACTTCTTTAAATATTGATTATGAGCAGACAGCATGCCAAGCCATATTTAAGTTGCTTTAGTCCATTAATATCAGAGCACACATCCCAAAGTTGCCGTGAGGTCAGCACTAACTGGTCTCCTTTGGCTAACATCCCCCTCCCCCATACTATACATTTCTCCTCATAATAAACAATACATTAAAAAGTTAATGTGAACTCTCCGCATATTTAAAACTAGTCTTGCAGGAGCCAAATCTAAAGATTAATGCAGAAAAACACAGAATCAAAAACTCCAGTGCTTAACATTAGTAGTATATATTAACTCTTACAGTCAAAATAGTGCAAATATAAAATAAGTAATTCATCATGACTACTGCTCACTGTATATGCACCCAACACATGTTATAAGCATATTTATTTATACAACTTGGGTATAACCAAATGGGGATTAAGCAGATACAAAATTAGTACGATTAAGTTGAAAGAATCGCACTGGCCTTACAATCAGGGCCAACGGTTTTCACCCAGCCCTGATATTAACTACATGATTTTGGCAACACTTAACCTCTCCTCGGCCTTGGTTCAACCACCTTTAAAAATCAAGTTGGAGGTCAGAGCTAGAAATTAATCCAACACAATCAAAATTTTATTCATTGAATACCTGAATTGGAAGTCTTCTATTAATTAATGCCAAAGTACCTGATTCATCATTCTATCGTACTATTTTATGTGGATCAGTCCTTTTCCAATGAATATATATGCATTATATGTGCATTAAAATGATAGTGCTTGGAAGACAGATTTATTAGAAAATAGGTGTAATCTCTACTGACAGCTTGACAAATGTTAATTACAGACATGCACAAATATATTTATTTGAAAATATGTTCAAAAAACAGCACCTAGCATTGGCAAGGATACTTGAGGATTTTAAAAGGAACCTAATATACAAATGGCAAAATGCAGTTATTTTTCATAAAATGTTCAGAGTCTGCTCTCATCTTTTCTTCTTCTAGAAAAATTCCTCTGTATTTATTAAACTTAGTGAAAAGAGGTATTTTTCTCAACTCTTATTTAAAATAGAAATTAAAGGATTAGTTCACTTGTTTAGAATCCAAAAGCTTTTACTTGTACACCTTAGGCAATTTGTATCCCCTTGGTAGTTTATCAAAACAAAAAGGAGTAAAAATCATGGCATATCTTCCCCCAAAATTTAGGTAACTGAGAACATGTTCAAAACTGTAGGTGTAAGTCTATTTTGATAACAACGGGAATTTTCTACTCAATATTGCTAATCATCAGGGAAATAAAAATTAAAATCACAGCAGATATCACACCACACCTGTCAGAATGGCTATTATTAGATAACTTGATATTCATTGTTGGTGAGAAAGCAAATTAATGCAGTCATGGTTGAAAACAATAGGAAGTTTGCTCAAAGAAATAAAAACAGAACTACCGTAAGATCCAGAAATCATACTATTAGGTATATATCCAAAGGAAATTAGATCAGTATGTCAAGGAAATATCTGCAGTATTAATTTCATTGTATTATTCACAGAAGTCAAGAAATGTGGTCAATTTAAATTCATCAGCTTGACAAAATACAATTACAGATAATATCTCTACATCTATATTTATATCTACATCTATACCTGTGTCTGCCTCTGTATCTATTGTATCTGTGTATCTGTATCTGCATATGTGTATCTGCATATATATCTGAAGTGGATAGACTTCAATTTCAATTTTTTTCAATTTCAATTTCCCACCATTATATGTTTAAGGGTCATCATTTCTCCACATCCTTATAAATCAGTTGGTGTTATTTTTATTCTAGGCACCCTAGGGGATATGTCATTTACCTTTTATTTCCATTTTCCTACATATCAATGGCATAAAAAATCTCTTCATTTGGTTATTGATCATTTGGACATGTTCTGTTGAGAAATTTCTATTCATATAATTTGTTTGATTTTTAGTTGGATTTTTCTATTGTTAACCTGTAACAGTGAACTATAATCTTTATATATTTGCACTACAATTCCTTTATTAGATGTATGATTTGAAGAGTTTCCCATTTTGTAAGTTGTGTTTTCACCTTCTTGATAGTGTTCACTGAAGTATTACATTTTTGAATTTTGATAAAGTCCAATTTATCTGTTTTTTCTTTCATCCTGGCTGCTTTTGCCATATGAGTCATATGAGTTTTGGAAAATGAGAGTCATAAACACTCCTGTAATACTATATTTTTTTTTCTTACATATAAATCCTTGACTCACTTTTATTTAATGTTTGCAAGTATTACAAGTTACGGATCCAACTTCTTTTTTTTCTTTTGCAGTACTAGGACAGGATTTTCACACTGAACTATATCCCGTGTTCTTTTTATTTTTATTTTGACACAAGATCTTTCTAAATGACTAAATTTTACAGCCTATGTTCAAATTCATGATCCTCTAGCCTCAGTTTCCCAGAGCAATGGGATTATAGGTATGATCCACAATACCAACTCCAGTTTTATTCTTTTAAATGAGGCTATCAAGGTATACAGGAATCATTTGTTGAAATACTACTATTTATATCATTGAATGGTCTTGACATCCTTCATGAAAACTTATTTTATCATAAATGTCTGAGTATATTTCTAAACAGTCAAATCTATTCCATGATCACTGTCCATATCATACTTGATTATCATCGCTTTGTAAGAAATTTTGAAGTAACAAAGAATAAATCATCTTATTTGATTCTTCTTCCAGGATTATTTTAGAGATGATCACTTTTAAAATTTCCTGCCATCAGGGGCTGGGGATTTAGTTCAGCGGCATAAGCGCCTGCCTTACAAGCAGGCAGTCGTGAGTTCGATCCTTGGTACCGATAAAAATGAAAAAGACAAAAAAAAACCAAAACAAAATAAAATTTCCTGCTATCATGTTACTTAGTTTCTTCTTCATAAGAGTGAAATTTTAATAATATTCTCATTATCTGAACTTTTCAACTTTTTAAATTTGAGAGCGCAAAAGATTAATCTATGAAGCTTTATCTTTTCTTTATTGGGTTTAGCATTTCTGATTGCAGACTGAAAAAGATCTGACTTTAGTAAACATCTTTTTACTAAATTTTACTAATTTGTGTGTGTGTTAGGTGATTGTCTCTAGAAAGGGCTACTGTGGAGCAAGAACATAAGGTGTAACCCTGTTTTTCAGTATAAAGAGGGCACCTCATAGAGGCCATCACTGAATTGGCACCCTGGTACTCAAATGGTTTATGGGAAAGCAAGCATTTTATTAAAAACAAAAGGACAATAAAGCAATGGATGGAACTGGGACCCTTCTTGTTAACTGTCCTAATTATATATTTTGGGGTTTCCTCATTCATGATTATTTTCCTTTTCCTTATGTTGGACATATGAAATAAAGTTTAGCTTTTTAAATTTTGACTTAATGGCATGCTTTTATTCTATTTTCTGAACGCTCTGTAAACATACTTCTACACCTATGTATCTTAGGCTTCAGATTTCTAATTCACAGAGACCAAATACTTTATATAGCATCAAATGACAACCTGAGGTAATTTGTATATGTTGCTAACATCAACAGACATGAAAAATTTCTTGTAAGAAAATTCTATTGTAATAGAAAGAAAATTTATTATGAGTGAATAATTTTTTTCTTTTGAAAAAATAGAATAAAATTTAATTTACTGATTAAAGTAAGAATGGAAATTTGGCTGGGGATTTAGCTCAGTGGCATAAGCACCTGCCTTGCAAGTGTGAGGTCATGAGTTTGATCCCCAGTACCAAAAAGACCAAAAAAAAAAAAAAAATTGTGCTCCAATGATAAATCGTGTTTTTTAAAGACTGAAGTACATGCTATTCAGAATTTTTGAATATTACATATATAATACTTATGTCTAGATTCTGCACCCAATTGTGCTGCTAGTCAACGTGCAATGACCAACAAGGTCCTCTACTTTCTGAGCCATAATTTATTATCATAAGCAGGTCTACAAAGGAAGAATGAATGAACCTCCTAGACATACATCTGATCTCTCTTAGGATTGCTGAAAAGTCTCATATACAAAATGATCTAATTCTAGCCTACTGACAAGGAATTTGTTTATTTAACAACTACTCTATACAATAACTATGATGGCACTGGCTCTTGTAAACTGTGACAACATTACAATCCTCTCCTCAGTAAATCATTCCCCTATCAATAGAGATGACAACAAATTTTCTGGGGGGTGGAAGACAAGTAACAGTTTCAGTTTTAAAAAACCTTAAGAAACCTACCTGAGCACCACCTGCACTTCCCCAAACCATGAAATTTTGAAACAGAGTAAGGCCAGTGTCATGATCCCAAGGTGGATGAAACTTAGGATATACAAAGAGTCCAAACCTTAAAAAGTAAAAAATGAATGAAAGTAAGCTAACTGCTATGTCTCTAACTTTCCACTTTTCTTCATTGAAATTACAGACGCTTTGTAAATATTTTTAAATTAATAGATATTAACTACTCATAAGCATGAATATCATGTGATAATATTCCAATTTTCAAACATATACTAACATGTCCCATAATGTTTTCATGATTGTGTCTTTCCAGAAAATAGCACTGGACAGTAGCATTTCTGTATTTGTTATTATTCTTATTCTTATTATTATTATTATTATTATTACACCTCATAAATATACTCAGTATACAAGTTTTTCCCTCTTCTCCATGTCTTTGCCTGTACTTATGCTATTAATTCTAACTGCTAAGAGGTGATATCTCATCATAGCATTGATTCTATTATTATATCTCACTATAATATTGATTTTATTTTCTACTGATGACTAAGCATTTTTTCATATACTTTTTGACAATTTGCTTATCTTATTTTGAGAACGGTCTATTGAAGTCAATTGTTTATTTTCAAAGTGGTTTATTTGGTTTTCTTCTGTTGAGTTTAGTACCTTACATATTCTAGATATTAATCCATCATCAAATATAAAACTAATGAATATGGGCAAGTGAAAATAGAGGAGGCCTGTGAGCCTTCTGAGTGTCATTGCTCATTCCTCAGTTTCCCCATTCTGTTAGACTGTGTGACCCACTCTTAGGTCTTAAGACAAGGCAGATTGCCATGGTCCATGCTATGTTACCAAGCACTCTTAAACTGTTCTCTCCACAGGAGAGTTGATGTCAGCATTGGCAATGTTTGTACATGTTGTTCTTATACATGAAGTTCCCAACCATTGCTTTCATCTGGTCTGCATGATTTCTTCCCTTACCTTTCAGGACTGCTCAAAGCTGCTGAATATTCATAATAATTTCATGAATTATTCCAAGTCTTGGCTGGCACTTCAACATTGTTTAGCATTTTTCATATTTTTAATTTTTTATTCTTACCATTTCTCATCATGATTTAACAAAATTACTAATGATATTATTATAATTTTTATTGCTATCAATTGTTTCTTACTATATTCCAAATACTTTTTGATATAATATATCAACCATCCCTAACTTTACACCAAACCTCCAATGTAGATTTATTTCCACTTTCCAAATAAAGAATCTGATGCTTTTGGTACAAGAGACTGAACCAAAGTCTACCACATGGTAGATAAGTTGCCACTTCGCTACACCCTCAACCCAACCGATCAGACTTTTCAAGAAAAATAAAAGGAGTTTACTGGTTGAGAAGCTAGGCTTTGAAGCAGGGCCTAACAGGCTCTGAAGTGGGCATCTTTGCCATGAGTCTCAAATTCTCCACCCCACTGGTGTTTCACATGTCCTTGTTCTTAGCAGGTGGCCTTATCATCCACATGACAAAGACTTTGAGCAAGTCTCTTTCTTCAGTTAGCAACCAAGTCATCTGCAGCCTCTTCTCCAGGGCTGACTCTCTACCTGGGTCCTGAGCCAAAGGCCAGCTTCCTAGGGCAGGGCGTGGCATTGCAGCTGTTCTCAACCACTTTGAAACTTAAGTCCCGCCCCTTCCTCTTCTTTATCCCTTCCTGTCTCTCTCTCCCTCTCCTCCTTCTTCCCTCCTTCTGGCACCCTACCTAGCTACAAAAGGTACAAGTTTGCAAGTTTGTCACATGACTTCAATCTCTTTCTTTAACCACCAAATTGTTATAATCTAAAGCCTTACTCACCATAGTCAATACAAAGAGGCAACCTAAGTGTTCACCAACAGATGAATGAATGGAGAAAATGTGCTGTGAGCACACAATGTGATAATATTCAGCCTTCAAAACACGGAAATATTGCTATCTGTGGATGAAGCTAAGGACAGTGTGTTGGGGGAGGCCGACAAGACACAGAAGATATCTAACACATTCCAAGTGCCAAAAACAGAAAAATAAAATGGTGGTTCCTACAGGCTGGAGACAAACAAAGAAGTACCAGTCTAAGGATACAAAATCTTCCCTGTAAGACATAGTGAGTGCAAGAGACACACTACACCCGTATTGCCTGTACTTAACAGTGCTATACTGTATAGTCATGATTTTAAAAAGTTTATATATCTTATTTCAAGTGTTCTTACAATAATAAATAAGCATACCAGGGGAAAAAACTTTTACAGCTGATGAATATAACATATGGCACAGATTGTAAGTTGCTTTTGTAGGTGTATACTTTTATTCTCAAGTTTGTACAATTAAATATGTACAGATTTTTATCTCAATCATACTTTAATAATGTGATATAAGACATATTTATACTGTAGCATTAACAGATCTCAAACAAATACCAAAATCTATACCCTCTGCAAGTATGCTACAAAAAAGTGATAAATCATAATCATTCACCCCAAATGCAGATGACTTTTCCTAGTTACCTGGTGCAGAAATGTGCAGTGTTCTGGGTGAATGAGAGGAGGGGGGCTTCTGATGTTTGGTTGTTCACAAGATGAAAAAAGTAGCCGTAGCCAGCAGCACAGACTCTGTTCCCCTATGGAAATTTAAGAATAGTTTAAAAAATAATTATTCCACGTGTGCTAAGGTTGCACTTAATATTTTTTATAATATATGTGTGCAATATGGAATGGCAGATGTTCACTTGGATGAATTTGTATGAGCATAATCACTTTTCATCACTTTACTCCCTTTTCCCCCACCTTTGACCCCTTCCACATCTCCAAAAGTCTTCTTTATAGTTTCATATTGCCTTTATTTTATTCACTGATGTATATTTTACATATCTTATATAAAAGAAACCAATATTGAACTTTATTTCATTTAGCAAGAGAGTCTTATGCTGAAAATCTTTTGGTCTTATTTTTCCCCCTCAAGATGAAAGTATTCTCTCGTTATGCTTTTTCTAGGCAACTCTAGGTAGACTTTAACTTGCCCATCTCAAGAGTTGTGGTCTTAAATGAAGGCCTTCTTTTAAGTTTCTGCAGTGAGGTTACAGTGTCACCTAATCTGAACATCTCTCCCGTGTTGTATGCAAAAACACTCACTGGACCCCTTGATTGCTCTTTGCTTTCTGCCTGTCCTGCCGTGAACTGTTTCTCCTCTGTCATGACTCCCTGCCAACTATGAACTGAAACCTCTACAAACTGTGAGCCAAAATAAATCTCTCCACCTTTAACTTGCAGGTGTCAGATATTTAGTCTTAGAAGCAAGAAAATTAACTAAGACAGGGGACAATATTGTGTATTTAATGCACTATAAGGTGCTCTGATGCTTCTAATGAAGGTGATCTCTGATTCCATAAGGAGAACCACTTTATGCACTCAGAAAGTAAACCTGGACAGTCTGGTCACTCAAGGTCCTAGAAGATCTCTGATGAGAAGAGACACATTGCAGAGACACTAGCAAAGCCCCAATGGGAAAAATACCTAAAACAGGTTCTTTTTAAGCCAATAGTACTCAAGTCCCTTCTTTCTTAGAAAGGGGTACAAATGTCCTGGATCTCTGTGGTCCGTCAGTCTCTGGCAGTGTGGGCCAGTGCTCAGGTTTGCTCAGAGACTGGTAGCCCAGCTGGCAGGAGCAACCAGAACCCAGTTAGTATGCCAGGCCATGCTGACACAATCTCCAATAAACATGGTGGTTTACTGGACTCTAACCTGTTATTTGTCATGAGCCCAAAGATTATCTTTTCCTGGATATCTGCATATAAACAGTGAGGCCTCATTTTTTTTTAACAGAGTTACAAAATGTTTTTCCTTTGTGGATAGTTGGTACAATTTCTACTGCATTTCATTATTTGGATTCTGAGCAGTTCTCCAGTTTCTTATGGTCCTTTATAGTTCTAGTCGCATGTTTTCCCACGTGGTACTCAGCAAAAGACTTTTGCGGGGTATCACTGAAATATTAAGTTGAATCACACTCAAAATGTTAACATGACTTCAGAGAATTTGGGACATCTCTGAGACATCAATGATCTTGAGGCACGTATCCTAGTGTAGTAATTTTCAACCACGGATAACCAGGGAACATTTGGAAATCTCCAGAGACATTTCTGATGGCCACAACTCAAATGGTGGAAGAAATAGTCACTGGTATTCAGTAAGTGGAGACCAGAGACGTTGTTACATAGAGGTTGGAAACCTACCACAAAAGATCATTTAGCCACAAATACCAACTGCCACAGCAGACACACCCTTTCTACCATGTACATTGGTGCTATGTATTACAAAAATAACTCATGCCCACTTTCCAGTATCCCATCTCCAAATTTTGTCAGAGTTCATATACCCAATACAGAACATGATCCATTACAATAAAAATGCTTCATTAGTTTCTATGAGAAGAGTATTTATATCTTATAAAACAAACAAAGCTGGTGTTAGTCATCCCCAAAAAGAACTAGAATTAAATCAATTAACCCAGTTCTTCTCTTGAGCTAGAAAACAGGATATATACAAAGAGTCTCAGTCATAGGAAGAATCCCTGTCTCTGAGTTAGAAAATAAAAGTGTCCAATAGATCTTTTCAGCACTGAAAGATACCCACAATGACACCAGAGCCAGTTCAGTCAGTCATGATACACAAATAAAGCCTTTCCCAGAACAGTATAATGTAGATCTACCTCTGAGATAACCTATCCCTTGTGTTTTCACTATACGCACGACCTCACCGATGACCTATATCTGTGATCCATAGAACTGAAGGTCAGAGGAGGGTGGTCCTTGAACACCAGACTTTTCTGAAAATATACAAACAATAAGAAATGTACACTACAGACTAACGGTGATAATCTCACCTGGACTTGTACTAGCGCAATGTTTGTTTATTGCCAAGACTTTAGGAGAAGGAGAAAGTTTCCAGCATTTGAAAAGTATTTTCCTGGAGCTACATCCTTACTCATCACCACTGCCAGCAGAGGTGTTCAGAAAGCGGCATTTCCAGTGAATGAACAGATTTGCTGACTCATCTGCCACAGTACCATTCACTTTTATGAAACATCTGAGTGATCGTACATAAACACTTTCCAAATTCATTGATAGTTGGGCAGTAGACTCTGAATGTGGTCGTCTGTTAACTGATAAGGCTCACTTTTCTTATGAAAAAAGCACATCAGCAGTCAGCTCACATTACTTCCCAGCTCTTTCCCTTGCAGTTCCAATTGGGTATGCTACAAATGATTCACATATTTATGCAGGCAGCCAGCGGCTTGTGGGGAAGGATTTAAAGCAAGTAGGGAATTTTGTGTGGAAATCAATTCTTTGCGGAAGTCGATGTATTATGGACATTCAAGCAGGAGAAATTCCAGAGAGAAATTATTGCCCAAGTAAGCCAGCTCCTGGAGGTGTGTGTCTATAGTCACCAGGAAAAAAAATCTGAGTTAACCCTTCAGGCAGCTCTTAAATATGCATTACCTATTGAATGGGGCAAACTAGAGAACTGAGGCTGGGCCTTTAAACACAGTCTTCCTTATGAAATTGATTCACAAAGCAGAACAAATTCCCCTTAAATTAAATGACTGTCTCCAAAGGGCTCTTCTTCAAGATTTTTCCATGGACGACCCTAATCAAGAGTCTGCTCTTAGGAAATTTACAACCACTACATAAACATGGGGAACTCTGAAAGTCTCAAGTGTGAACCATCCGGCTGCCTGAGAGTAAAACCTTTCCATACTGAGGAGATGAAAATAGGGTCACACAGACTTTGTGTTCTGGAAAGATGAACAGATCTAAGGAACTCCTGTGAAAGAGGCCAGAGTCTCAGAGGCTGAGCCTGCTGAGGGAAAGCAGGCTGGACTTGGAGTCCTCTCAGAGGCTACAGGGACGTGGGAAAAACCACTACAATCTGGTTTCGGAAAGCCTGGCAAAGGCCTATGAAGGAGTCCACAAAGGACTGCCATAAGGCCCCTGAGACTCAAACATAATACCACACATGAATCCCCACCGGTAAGAAGACACAGAGTTCAGATTTTGCTTCTCCAAGAAACTGCCCTGGATGGAATTCAGCAGAAGCTTCGGTGGGAGGACAGCACTTATGGATGGAAAACAAAGGAAATGCTGCCCTTGAAATCTTTCTGTACTGTGCAGGTTGAAAGGTAAGTGAACGGTAAAGGTGACTCACTGGAAGTCAAGGTGAATTTCTTTCCTGTAGTTGAAGGTTTGGTCCTAACCTCTGGGTCAAGACTATTTAGGAATAATATAAAACCTTAACTAAGGCACAGACCCAAGGTTCTCTTCCTCTGCCTATCAGACAGGGATTTCAAAGGCAGATTCATGCATGTAAAGAGAGTTTTTAGGGTTTCTCAGTTGGTTGGCCAGATAAGATTAAACTACCTTTTTCAATTAAAAGCATCACATCATGTAATGTCTTGGTTTTGATACTGTTCCACACCCCTGGTGGTTATCACTGGAGGAAACTGAGTAAAGGGTGATAGGAATATAGATATAGATATAGATATAGATATAAATATAGATATATAGATAGATAGATATCCTAATTTTTTTTATTTTTAAAAAGCAAAAAGATAAAAGTATAGAAATAATACAAAATTTTTTAAAAAACAGTAATCAACAATAGTTAATATATTACACATCGTTATCTTAGAAGTGGTTGCTCAAGTTACAAAGTCAAAACAAAAAAATGAACAATGATTTTCAATGAACTAACAGAATTAGTGATACAGTTATCTATCTTGCACACTTAAACATACATACAGTTATATGTCTATACCTACAAGTTGTTCTTTCTTTTTGAGCACTTTTCTTTTCCTATCATTATTACAATATCTATTGTATGTTTTGGATCTTATTGCTCTTTCAGTTTTTTATTATTTATTTTTGATACTAGAGAGACAATAAGATATTTACAAATGTGAGTCTGATTTATTTCACCTATGAGTATAGTCTCAGTTGCCTCTGTTTCCCTACAAAAGCCTCAAGATTATACTTTTTATAGCCAAGTAATATTCCATTGTATAAAAATACCATATCCTTTTCATCCATTCTGCAATTGATGGGCATGTTAGTTGTTTCCAAGATTTAGCTACCACAAACTGGGCTGCTATGAACATGGGTGCACATAGATCGCTGTGACATGACATTTTTAATGTTTCTGGGAAAATACTCAGGAAAATAGCTGGTTTGAATAGAATTTCCAATCCTAGTCTTCTGAGGGATCTCCATATGGATTTCCATAGTGATTGCACCAGTCTACACTCCCACCAACAATGGAGCAGTGTTTCTTTTTCCCCTTAGCCTCACCAACATTTGTTATGTTGATTTCTTGATGGCAGCTATTCTTTCCAGAGTGAGATAAAATCTCAGTGCTGTTTTAATTTGCATTTCTCAAATGACCAGTGATGGTGAACATTTCCTAAGGTATTTATTTACTACTTGTGTATCTTCATCTGAGAAATGCATATTTATCTCAGACGCCCATTTCTGGAGTAGGTCTTTGAATGTGGAGATCTTGATGTTTTTCACTTCTTTATATGGAACTTTTATATTTTTGCAGCCTCTTGGGAGTCTGAACTTGTTACAAAATTAAAAGTTTGTGATCACACAGACAACCCTAATTAATCACAGTAATGCAGGTATATACAAGGCTCAAGTACATTCCCTTAAGGAGATTTCCAACCATGGAGCAGTGACACAGCAAGATATCAAGGCCAAAACATGAAGTTCCTTGGAGGAAAGGATTCTCTCTCTCCTGAATCCCAGAATTACCAGGTCTTTCTATCACATCTCTTTCTGTTCCACATGTTCCACCCACGTACACAAACATAAACACACTGCTATTATTGTCACCTCCACATTATTCTTGGACAAAGCTAATTTCTAGAATATATTCATCAAAGTACTAAAGGTATCACCCATACAGGGCATATTTAGTAACTTAATAAACACTAATATCCCACTTGTTCAATGATTAAAATGACTTTCATGGGCCCAAACAGTCAAAAGAAACTCATCACTTGTGGGTTTTTTTCACACCTGCCCTTCTGACATTTAGGCCTTCAGTAATGGCATGTTACAGGAAATGTAATTAAGAAGCCACCACATAACAGAAAAACAGAGATATAGCTGAAAAAGGTTAAGCTTGACTTTGCAATATTTAACACCAACAGATAAGTCTCACAGGATTCAAATGTCACCATTGATTAAAATTTTATTTATTAAAATGATTTTGAAACATTGGAATCTCTACTTTTGTCTTCCTTCCTATTTTTCAACTATAGGTTTACACTAACATTTATTCATTATATGCAACACATTTTTGTTGGGCAACTACTATGTTTTAGACATTCTACTGGGGTGTAAAAACTAATAAGCGAATGAAAACTACCAAATTTTAAGGTTGTTGAAGATGAATATGTTAGAAATATGCCTAGTAAATCTATTATTAACTTACCCTTAATGTGCATTCTCAAAACACATGCACTGCATTTTTTAAATTTTATAAATCACTATATATATAAGAGGAAAGAGGCAAATGGATAGATATAGAAGGTATCGCAAGACAGAGAAAATAGCTAATTCTAGGCTGAATTTTTCCACTGTTGGGTGGATATTTTTCTACAACTCAATATACAAAGGCCAAGGTGACCAATTAGCTTTTCAGATGGCTCTTGGCTCATGGCACTACACCCAGCTCCTCTTCATCCTTTCAGCAACTGGCTAGGACACCTGTCCTGGAGACAATACTGTACCTACCCAGAGAGACAGGTAGTCCAACCTCATACAGAAGAATGATTTGATCAGCCCCGAGGGTTTCCTTCCCATTAGGCATTTCAGGGTAGTCAGAACTGCTACCCAAGAAAGTACACAAAAACGTGGTTCTTGAGGCCCCAAAGCTTCTGGTACAGATATGCAACAAGCCCTAGATTACAGTTAAATGCAACTTGCCTTAGATTTTGGTTTCCCACAATCCATGCAGTTCTGCCTCCTTTCCTTACTGACATATTAGCCACCCCTATTAGGCACCTAAAATGGTGTGTAAGTGTTGTGCTCGCTATTAAGAGTCTAAGGAAGGTTGAACAGATAAGCACAACTTTTATGAGGGGTGATTCAGCTAGAGGTAATTAAACACAGATAATCAGGGGGACAGACACTCATTCTCTGAGCACCTCAGAAACATGGCATAGTTGCCCTCATATAAGATCCTGAGAGAAGGAGGCACTTAACCACATCCATAGATGATCCATGAGATAAAAGAATTAGAAAAGGGAAAAGAAATTCAAACATCTTCCTGACTTATCATTTATCCTGATGCAATTCTTCACTCACAAAACTATGATAAACTGTACAACTAAGTGTAGAGTTAACTGTGATTTAATTTCATAAAGAGGCTAAAATTTTCCCAAGAGAAATTAGTGTTAAATTTTATTAAATAATGAGATAAAAAATTAAGATCACCAAAGTACCCTACATCCTCCTAAAATCTTACACGAGTCCGCACATTTCATGATTCAGTCTGAAACACTGTTATAGGGAAATAATACAGCCACATTAATATAGTAAAAGAGTAATTGTAATTGGTATTGGATTCGGAAGAAATAAAATCAGCATCCATGTAGATAAATCAGAAGGATGTTTGCATTTTAGTCTGTATTAATGATCAGAAAATGATTCAATATTTACTTTGTTTGCTCCATATAGATACTGCTTTAGAGGTTTTGTAAGATTTCTCAGGAAATGATTGAACTGATTCTGAAGTATACCTTTAATGGAGAATCACAAGCTAATTTCTTGATATTAATGTGCAGCAACCAAATATTTCAAACCCTATCACTGACTTTGCTCCTGCAATGTGCATTTGGAGTGAATTCTGTGCCCTGTCAGCTCTGACCCACCCGGTGGAGCAGAAGCTCTTACCTCTACAACATTGGTAGGACTGCGGATGTAAATGCCAGATGGTGTCAACATTTCAGGACTGGAGAGACCCTCAGCACCAGAAACACTGATGATCATGTTGTTTCTTATTATATTCCCCTGTTCTGACCAACCTGGTTTTAAAAAACGTAAAACCGAGGGATTTGCAAATACAGTTAAAATTTATATAACCCAACACTTTTGATTCTACTAATATACATCCTACTTGACCTAATGCATTTCATATAAATATAAATATATATGCATCTTTAGAAAACACACAGCTCAATAAATTTAAAACATCTAACATTTTTCCATATAAAACACATGAGCACTATAAATGGATTGTAATAGATTTAAAATCAGTTTGCATATTTATCATGTTTTCTTCCAGGACTAAACTCCCAGGGGATATATCCTATCTCCATGTGTGTCCCTGAGAACAAAAGACTATGTTACTTCAGCACATTTGATGCCATTCAGGAAAACAAGAGCTACTGCAACACCATTTCTTCTCTAGGCATTGGTTGTTTTGATTTTGTGTGTGTTTTTCTCTATAAATGAGACAAAGAAGTATAGATCATGTGGATTTTTAGCTCAGGAGTATTGAGCACCAAAAGTTCACTTCCAATAAAGTGAAGAACAGAAAAATAAACATTTTATTTTACTTTCTAGGAAGAGTCTAACTATCTCTGTCAAATGCTCTGTCAGCCCAGCATTGTTCCTGGGAGATCAAATTGGCACCAGCTATCTGTATGCTTCTCTCTTCCACTGGAAGGTCTGGAATGTTCTGCAGGGATAGGCTGGAAAACCAGAGACCCTCACACTCAATGACTGGAATAGAAGAGCATACATAGGCCATGAAACACAGACATGAGGCACTTAAGAAGCATGAACAAGTAGTAGTCCACAGAACCCCTCATTACACACTCAGTCTTTGTATAGCTCACTCTCCTGGGTCATTTAATGAACCCAGATGCATAAACTTGTTAAAGTAGAATCCTTCACCTAGAATACATTACTCCCTACTTGTAATACATTAGATGCCAAGAATCTATAATTCACAATACTTAAGCCCTAAAGGCTGATTCCTCCAACAGTTTCTCTCCTTGCATGATTAATGGCTATCCCATTTCTTTGGCTCTTGTTAAAATAACATTGTTAATATATTTTGCTGAATTTCTGCTGAAGTGTTTGTCCCATACACAGACAAACGTAAGAATAATCAAAGTCAATCCTACATCTGTTACTTTGATTCCTTGTGTTTGTCCTTTTCTGATTAATACATTTTTCTGTTCCTAATAATCTCAAGTCTCCTTAGCACTGCCTTTTAGAGCTCAAGTAAAGCAAGTTTATATGACTGACATTGTTTTGTTTTGTTTTGTTTTGTTTTGTTTTTGGAGACAGTCTCACAAGTAATCTGGCTAGCCTTGAACTTGTGATATAATCCAGCCTGGCCTTAAATTTGTGATCCTTCTGGTTCAGCCTCCCAAAACCTGTTATTCCAGTTGTTTCCCACCATGCCCAGGTAGAAACTTTTTAGCATTTATCTCAACAGATTATTCTTAAATAAAAGATATACTTTTCCATTAATATCAGAATTAATTTAAATACAAAACACTACCATTTACCAATAAGTTATAGTCTTACTATAATGAGAGTGATTTGCTTTATCATTCTGATACAACTAGAATCCCTTTGCTTCATTCATTTCTTCCAACTGACAGATCTGCAATGCATGAATGTGAGCTAAACTCTTACGGCAACAGTGTTCTCCTGGCTTCTGGTAGGAAAGTGGCATTAGTTAGGTAATCAGAATTGTGACATATTTCCAATCAACAAGTGCTAACTGGTGTTTAACAAGCTTAAACAGAAGGACTAGACTTGGTGGTACTGGCAGGGCAAAAGATCTGAGACAGATTGGTTTGAACAAAGAAAAAAGAGCTATGCAAAACCCCTGAGACTGAATAAAGCATGGTTTTTTTTTTTTTTTTTTTTTTTTTTTTTTAAGGATAAAATAAAATAGATCAGTGTCACTAGACTACAGAGGGAGAGAAACAGAGCAAGACAAGTTTACAGAGATTAAAGAGACCAACAAGAAAAAATTATTGGGGCTGGGGGTTTAGCTCAGCGGTATAAGCGCCTGCCTTGCAAGCAGGCAGTTGTGAGTTCGATCCCTGGTACCAATAAAAAAACGAAAAAGACCAAAAAAAAAAAAAAAAAAGAAAAAGAAAAAATTACTGAAGCAACCTTTCAAACTACATTAAAATCATTTGTATCCAAACAGTAAGAAACTCTTAAAGGGCTATAAGGGGAGGAATGATATGACATAATGTGAGATTTTTCTAGGTTTTTGCAATAAACTTTAAGAGACAAAAAGTGAAAACAAGTGACTAGTTAGATGATCTTGAAAACATGAATGAATTTGCAAGCCACAAAAGCAATTAGGAACAGATTTAAAGACTTTCTAAATCTTTGGCTAACATTCAAGTTTGATAGCCTGTGAGACAATGAATGCACATTATTTAGGTATCAAGATTATCATGAAAATATCTGACAGTAAATTTTAAAACTTCCCATTATGTATTTGTTAACTTGAACTGAAACTTTAAAATACCAGTTTTAGGCTGGGGATTTAGCTCAGTGATATAAGCACTAGCCTGGCAAGTGTTGAGGTCATGAATTCAATCCTCATTACCAAAAATAAATAAATAAATTTTAAAATATCAGTTTCTTATTGACAATGTTTAATAAATCAATCAGTGATAACTAAGTTTAGAATTTTTGTGTGTGGGGGGTTGGTTGTTTTGTTTTGTTTTGTTTTGTTTTGTTTTTTGATACTGGGGATTGAACTCATGACCTCACACTTGCCAGGCAAGGGCTTATGCTGCTGAGCTAAATCCCCAGCCCCTAAGTTTAGAATTTTTAATCATAGCATATATATATCTAATAACCAGAAAGTTAATGTTTTATAAATTGGGATTAAAGATTTGAGAGAATTTTCTGTGAAAAATTAGGTATCCTACTCAATAATATAGAAATTAAACAAGATCCTTCTACTTACCTACTAGCAGTGCATGGCCTAAAATCTTATAGAATACATTCCTGTCCACCTCCAGCCCCCAGGTGCTGCCCAGGTCAAGGCCTCTGCTGAAAGACCTCCAAACAGTGCAACCCTGGATGTAGGAACCTGAACGGGAAAGAGTAAGGTGAAAATCACACCCAGCTCTCAAAGGCTTCTTGGATTTTGCGGGCCGTATCCAAAGCAAACTATGCCATAGCTAAAAATATCTTCCTCACAACAAGAAAACTCAAAACCTGAGTTGGAAGGGGCAATCAAATCAAGAGAATGGACAGCTCAGGTTAATAGCCCTTAAAGATAAACAGATTGATGTCTAAGGATCAAGTCTTAGAAAACGAAAATCATCTGAGAAAGACAAATAGGGCCAAACCACAAAAGAATCCTTGCTATCAGAATTTCCACCAGACCATCACCTTTAGCATAAATTCTTATTGCAAGATGGTAAGTGAGAGAGTAAGGACTGGGGAGAATAACATTTATGGATCAACTCTGATTTTTGAAAGCTGCATCTTGAAAAGATCATTATTGATCATTATCTCTTGAGCTATATCTTATAAACAAATTAATAACTTGTAAAGTAATAATATTCTTAACCCAAGGTAGACAGGGATTCCTATTCCAAATAGTTAGCAAAACCAAATGCTAGCCTGAAAATCATGACTCCCACATTCAAATATGGAAAGTTTATGATGTTAGAGGAAAAGTATCCTCTACAAAGCTAAAAGGAATCAAAATTTAGAAAATCATTTCCCTGGATCTAGTTTTATACCTCTGGTCCCTGAACTGGATTATGCAGTCCAGATTACTCAATGAATAAAGACTCCTTGAGCATCAACCATAATCAGACTGTACTCAATGACATTTGTCAGTGAGGGGCTACATATGTGGTGGTAGGTCCATAAAACGTGATGGGATGAGAAGTTTCTATCACTTGGCAACATGGCAGCAGTCAAAATGTGCTTCTGAGACTGGTGAGGAAAAAAAACTACTGTACTACCAGTAATATGAAAATACAACATATAAAAAAAATACCGCACATATAATTATGTAGACTACATAGCAGTTAATAATGATAAATGACTACTTAACTGGTTTATATGTTTTTTAGAGTATAGTCTTTCTACTTATAAAATTAAAAAGCCTTTAACAACAGTAGCTTATACACTTCATGTTTACCTCCTTTCTTGATTGCATCGACATTAAAAAAAAATTTGCTTACTCCACATATCAATGATGCATCTTAGATTTCACTACTGAGATGACTCCAGAATAATAAGCTGTGAATGTTTAAAATTCAGTTATGCAGGCTCAACTTTAAACACTAAAAATGATTTTTATTCACATTAAAATTGAAAAATACTGATGTTGAATATAACAGAAGTGTCCATCCACAAATCCCTCGAATCCAATATGTCCCTTGTTATGACCCGTAACTGCCTCACGGGAGAAGACTGAAAGTGAGCAGTTTTTGACCCCTTACCTCTCATTGCTCCCACTACCATGATGGAGCTCAAGTGCTTTTGGAAGGCTTGTCCCATGTCTTGGAACTGCACCCCCTTCAGCTGGACCCGGCTGGGCTCCTTTGTGAAAGACTGAATGATGACTCTGGCCCCCAGATCCCTGGATCCCAGCACCTTCTCGCTTTTGGAATACAAACAGTGCAGCAGATTACCTGAAACACAGAATGAAGCCCAGGGGACCTAGAGCAATGGAACATGCGTCTAGCCAAACCTCTCAGTTTAGAAGGCGCTTGCAGCACAGTGGAATTTCATTTGTACTTCTTTCATATAACAATCTTTTTACTTTGATTCCCTTCTCACAACTTGTACTACTACAGTGTTGGGACCTCAGGATCCACAGCATGTGCTGTGGACACAGGACATTTGGTGATGTGAAATAATCTCAGGATGAAGAAGAAATCATCTCCTGAACTGATTCTTTATTATTCATGTTAATGAGCTAAGGAAGTAGTAATTGTACAAAAACCATGTGTCATTCCACAGTAAATTTCAGAATCTAGTCATGTACTATTACTCCAGAAATGAATAAATACAAAGTAAATAAAGAGATGCTATATATTTGCATGCTTTATCATTTGGGTCAGTAATCTATGTCATATTTAAATGGCCAGGTTTCATAAGATTTAGCCAGCTTGTTCCAGGCTTCAGTCCTATACAGAAAGCTAAGCGACTTATTTTGAGTCTACTGTAGCTACATTTAAGATTTATTATGAAATCAAGAATGTTTTCCATTAGGAGCTAAAAGATTTTTTTTTACTTTTTTATGTTTAAAAAGAAATATAGAAAAAAGGATAGAAATAATACAGAATTTCAAAACAATAAGAAATTGATCCTAGTTAATATATTGCATATTGTTATCTTAGAAATAGTTGTTCAGGTTATAAGATTTAGGCATAAAAAATGATAAAACAATCAAACAATGACAGCACAAATTTTGATGAACTAACAAGAATTAGTACTATATTTATCTTGTACATGTATACATACATACAATTATATATGTATAGCTACGTACATATAATTTTTTCTTCCATTTCCCCTTTTCCCTATCAATGCTAACAGATGTCTAATAGCTTAAACCTTAAAATGGATAAGGTAGTGCACGTTATAATCTCAATATGGGAGGCTGAGGCAAGAGGATCAGTGCAAATTCAAGGCCTGCCAGCCTGGGCTACACAGTGAGTTCAAGGCCAGCCTGAACTACAGAGTAAGACCCTATCTAAAAAACAAAGAAATAAATTTTTAAAAACTGAAATCCAAAAGAGTATTTTCACTGACTCCATGATCAAATTCAATGTTCTACAAAGTATGATCTGAGAAAACCTGTATGAGAGTCATCAGCTAACATGAATAGTATGCAAATCTCACATTGGCAAAATCGTTAAATTTAATGGTTAATCCATTATAACCCGTTGTTAGTGAGATTATCTTTTACAGAATGGCATATATGTGAGTCATGACTTGAATAGAGGAAGATGAGGTCAAAATCTCCACATTCAACCCCATTATACCTACATGAAAATATTACACAAAATTTAACATTTTTACTTTTTCCTGAGCTTCAGACACTACTAGACATCTGTAGCATGCTGCTGGCCTGCCATCTCTATTTCAACATGCACAAATTTAAATGCCTGATCATCACTCTCCCACCCCAAAACATGTTCCTCTTCCCATCTCAGTAAATAGCCTCATCATACATCCAGAGATCATGCCTGGAAGTCATCCTTGACACCCAAGCCATCCTGGATCACAGTTGACAAATGATGTCTTCACCACATGTGAAAACCTCATAATCTACAGCCTGGGAAACCAAAATATATCCTACTAAACTAACCATCCCTGAAATCGATGTTTAATAGGTACATCAGTGTGATTCAGTGCCTGCTATTCTACTAGAAGATAAATGAACTTTTCCCATCATTTACCAAAAGTATGTGGTAGTTCACTCAAAAAACAAGCCCCAAATGGAGGGGGAGAGCAAGTCTAATCAATAGCAATGGACTCCTTGAGCCTATGATTCTGTCATTAGGGTGTTCTTGAAAATCCTAGAAGTCTAGAATCAAGGTTAAAATTTATATTTAACCTAGAAATGCAATTCAGCTCTCCAGTTTTTATTAACGGGATTTTTTCACCAGAAAAATAATTTATTATTTCTTTTGTCTTATTTCGATCTCTTTTACAAGTTTGTTAAAGTGAATAAGAGAATGAAGTGACAGTTTATCAAGAGCATCCTGAAAATTAGAGTATCATGGACAGTCAAAGGCTAAGATCCTATTCTGTTTTGAAGGAAGTCAGCCCTCGTGTTATCGTGTATCATAAAAAAACAGTTTTTTTCATTCATGAGACTTTCTAACAAAATATCTCTGTACCTTCTGCAACATTGGTCTTCTCGCATGAAGCAAGAAATTTCCTCCTCTCTTGAGTAAGATTTCCTTTTATGGTAATACTCCTGCTGAGCAAAGCCACTGTGGCCTTTAAAATATGGTGCTTTCCAGCCAACCAATTCTCTGAGTAGTCATGAGAATATCTGAAAAAAAAAGGAAAGAGAAAAAGAAGGTATGCCTGAGGATATCACTCCAAATCGTAGGAATCATAAGTCATAAGACTATTTCAATCCTACCTTTGGAATTTACTTCTTTAGAAACTCAAATACCAAAGATTGAGTGAACTATGCTGAGAAGTACATAAAAACTTAAAAATATGGTGATTATTGCACTGACCACTTGCTACAAAATAGAGTTCAAGAGCCTCACAAATTACCTATGAATTCTACATCTTCAAATCACTTCAAACTTTATACCTTTCTTATCAAAATATCTAGCATTTTAATGTAAAAATACATCATCCGAAGACAGATGTCCAGACTGCAATACAGTTCAGATCTTGTCTTCTTCCTTGTAACTGAGCCAAACTGACAATGTATACCTCAGCGGTGCCCGAAGGTGGAGGTCTGCATGGTGCACAGTCTCCACAATGACAATCTCTTCTCGTAGGCTGGCGCCTCCAACCCCTGTACTACTGACAATGAGAACTTCATCCCCTGAATGCCAGTCCACAGCATCTTCCAGAGCCAACACTGTGTCTCCAGCACGGCCAACTGCTCGAAGGTGGGTGACAGTTATTTCTGGTACAGAACCTACAGCAGCATAAAGAAAACACGCTTAGACATTTTAATAATAAGAATGTGAGGTTATACAAAGAATTCTTTGAAAGCAAATCTGGGAACATAAACTTCATTAAGAGCTCTAAGTATCATTTTTGACTAGTTGTCATTCTAGTTTATGACAGGTTTAGAGAGGCGACGCTATTTTTCTCATCTATAAAAGTGATACAGCACAGAATAGTGAGGTGTAAAAAAACACATTTAGATCTGCCTTAATACTAAATTTAGATTTGAGCCACAAGTTCCTTAGAGTAACATATGTGTCAAAAAATAGGATGAATGTTTAAATTATTAAAAAAATTATTCCAGTAAGGCATGTGGCAGTGAATCTTTAGAATACTCCTTGCTTATAACACCCTTATCCCATCATTCTTGCCACTTTCTGAAGCAGTTCTGGAAGCTTCTATTGTGCCTTTAGTTGTGCTGTTGTGATAAATACTTATGAAACATATAGCTTGAATCTTGCAGCATAATAGACCTTTGATATATTAGTTGTTTTGCTTTCTTTCTTACATCACATTTTGTATTGAGGATGATATTTTATTACTTCTTTCTTATTCCAAAAAGAAAAAAAGTGGTAGACTCTGATATAGAAGTCTATAACTAATTTCCCACAAGTGGACATTAACCAACCTTACAAATCAAATCAAATCAGAATGGAAAATTTTGAAATGGTTGCCCTAAATCTGCATGTCTTAAGTGATCCCTTCAAACTTTAAAACTAGGTATATCTAGGACAGAATTGTCAAACAAACACAAAGAGAAACTCGGAGACTCTAGATACCTTGGTGTGTGTCATACTCTGGCGTACCTATCTGACTGTTATGCACGCTGGTTGCTAGCTATGTGAGACTGAAGGCCATTTGCTTCAGTTTACTAGGAGCTATTCCAGCAAGGGTCAAGATAAACGTTCTAAGGCATTATCTAAAGCAATATTTCAGCAAACACATGGCTTTCTCCCCACTTCTTCCTCTACCCTCAGTGCATTTCCTTCCCACCTTGTAATAGATCATAATTTACCAGCTCACAGCAAATTCCTGTCCTCCCTTGTTGCACTAAAGTAATAAAGTTCAGATTTCTAACTACAAGGTGGCCCACAATAAATCATTTTCAAATTATTTTAAACTTTCCTCTTTATTTGTCTGTGTGTGTGCAGGCACTTGTACCAATAATGTTGTTCTAGGGTTAGAAAGGTCTGTGGGTTAATGATATAATTTTTGAAGCTTACTCAGGCAATAATTTTATTTTTTTAAATTTTTACAGAGTTCAAAATTTCTAATTATAGGGCAGGTGAAAATTAAGACATAAATCATCCCAAAAGAAAATAATTTTAATTTTATTCCATGTTCATATATCTTAACCTTTGGTAACAATAAAATGAAACAAAACTTATTTATATGTATACACATATGTATGAATTTTTCTGACCTTTTTTAATTGTCTATATAGAAAAATCTTTACCAAGCATAAAAAGATTCAAAGACAAAACAGTATCAAACTCTGATCAGTTGTTTACGTACCTAGTCAGTATGTAATAATTATGTTATCTACCAACATGCAAGCTACATATGGCAGAACCAACAGTAACTATAACAAACATTTTTCAACTAATCATTCTTATGGTCAAGTCAGAATGAATGAAAAAAATCACAGGTCTTGAAGTGCATGTTTGATTTACATCCTTTTTGTATGTTGGCAGAGCCTCTAGAAAGCCATAATTTATCTGATAACATTCACTCTCACCACAAAAATTACATCTCTCCACATAAAACTAAATGACAGTCTCAGAGGTTTCATGAGTGTGAGCCTCTTATGTCCAACCACATAATAGATACTGACATGTGGGTGACTTTCCATCATATCAAAATCCAGATATTTAGTAATTGTGACAGCCACATGAGAGAGATTCTCTGAAAACAGCTGTTATTTTTCTGATAATCCCTGTTACATTCTTTTTTTAAAACATTCACTAATTTTGTCCTTTCCTGTGTACCCTGCTGTCTGGTTTCACCTATCCTTCCAGTACACGGCTCAAGCCCTACCTCTGCCACCTGTTCCATCAAATGTCACTAGCTTCCTCCTTAAAATGCTAATTTTTCAACTTTTCCTCCAGAGCCTGTAGTGATGTGTGATCTTTACTAGAGCAGAAGCTAAAGGTACAGATGGGATTTAAGCATGTCAAGTTCTCTGGACAACTACAGAGCCATTTCTTTGAGTTCCTTTGCCCAAGAAAAGAAACTTATACAAAGACGCAGACAAACAAGAAGATGACATGGCATCTGTCTGAGCTACTGGCCCTCTCCTGACCACATGGACCAGACCAGCCCTCAAGGAAGAGCATGAAGAAACTCACCAAATAACTTTTGTACCTTATGCTCCTCTATCTAGGATTCTCCTATCCAGCTTTGCTCCATCTCGTAGAATGAGATTTAACTTGATAAGGAAGCTTATAACCCCTCCTGACTAAGCAAATTGTATATCATAATCCATCATCTCATCATGTCTCCCTCCTTTCTACACTAACTGTGGGAGCTGGAGGGTTCATACTGGGACATTTCTGCCATCACTACTAAAATACCTACAAGCTGAGCGGGCTGAGGGGGACTCTGAGAGACTTATAGTTACATATCTATAATCAGCACCATATATTTCAGCCCTAATCTTCCTCCAATTATTACTGTGTATATATACACAGGGGTCTCTACTGGAAAATATGGTTTACAGTTAAATTTTTTAAAATGTATTACAGTAAAAGACACATTACAAACAATGACATAGCTGTGTTCAGAGCAAGGGAGAGCATTTTGATGGGGTAACAATACATCTTTTACTATATTAAAGATTTTTTACTTAAACATTTAGTGTACCCTTGGAATGCCTCTCATTTGGTGTGTGCTTAGTCACCTTATTTACTACTTCTGGCACCATGTGACTTCTCCAACTCAAGACAACAATGAAAAGTTAATGTTTTGAATCAATTCAGGACACTAAGGCAGTCATGACAGTGCAACTAAAGATGCATAAAAGAGAACTTAAAGAATTGCTTCAGAAAGTGGTAAGAATAAGTGATTCTGAAGCAAAGAAAATAGTATCTTGAAGTTGATTTAATGTTCACTGTAATAATTTTTATATTTAAGCATAAGCTGTATTTTTCTATCAGACCTCTTACCTCACAAATTTGTGTCATGAATGCAGAGCCACCACTGTATTTCTGCTACATATGTCACAATGTTTAATATGACCCAGGACTCATAATTACATTCAACTGCTTTAATTTATTTTAAATATTATCTTTAGACAATCACTTTAATTGAAGCTAAATCCCATTAGATACTCAAGTAAGTGTGTATCCAATATGTAAAAATATCCAATATGTAAACAGCACACACACACAATGCAAACATTTTCTGAGAATGTCAAATGAACCCAGCCTATGTTAAGTAACTTGCCTCTGATGGAAGAGCTGATTTTGCTTTGCTTTGCTTGCTTTTCCTTTTTATTTTTATTTAAGTAACAGAGTATATGAATAAGAAACAAAAATTCTTCAAGAATAAGGATAATGAGATAGCAGAACCGGTTGTTGACCAGGTCTGAACCCAGGACCAGAGATCTAGATAAGTGGGTAGTTCCTAGCCTCCAAAAATAAGTGTATATTAATTATACCAAAATTAGTTTTGGATTCTCCAAAATTACATGTGATAGATGTTATATATGCCATGCAAGGTGGACTAAATGTCGCCTCTGATGAAGGGAGCCCTGCACACAAGGGAAATGTGGGATATTTTTCTTCCTAGGACTCTTGAAACCTAGGTCAGGCAGCTCCTTTCCTCTCTTAACTACAAATTTTTAAAAAGACATAAAAATACAATTTGAAAAGCTCAATAATTTGTAACTATGCCAAAATGACAATAGGCTATGCCCTTAACTTGTAATTTAATAGAATGTTTAACCACATTGTGCTTTCAATGTTTGTTAACCAACAAACTGTTCATTTACTCCCACTAATGACTTCTACTCATAATTGTATTTCCTACAAACTATTATTCAAGCATTTCGGTATCATTCATCCATAATTACACAGTCCTAGAAAATCATTCTTACCAAATGGGCATGGAAAGAAAAAGTAATGTTTGTGGGCTGACACACTTTAAAATCACTAATTGTCCTATTTTTTCTGTAAGACTTAAGTCTTTATTCCAAGTGAATAACTGCCAAGACCTTTCCAAATAATTAGAAAGGACGGAGGAAGGAAGAGAGAGAGGAAAAGATAGGAGGGAGAGAAGGATGACTTCATTAAAATAATATTCACATCATAATGGAAATAGAAAGGAACTCACAAAACAAATAGAAACATTGTTCTCAAATATACACAGATTATTTCTTCCTTATGTGGAAATACAGCTTCTCCAAAAGAAGGGGGACAGAGCAGTCGTCTGGCTGTGCAGATCAGCTAGCCGCTTTCACAGCTGAGCAGCACAAACTTCTGCACTGTGATTAAAGGAACTGAGCAAACTACTCCCATTCTTAAAAGGCCTCCATTGTTCTTGGGGAATAGGGTTTAGACTAAACCCACCCCCAGGTACTGGATGGCACAATGAACCATATTTCTATAAAGGTATCAAAGAAGAGCTATTTTCTGGGTTTATGCAACTGGAGATTTAAATGTTTGCTTCTTTGATTTAAAATAAGTGACTGAGAAGAAAAAGTACACTGTAAGGTAAGCAGAAACATCAGGGCTTTTCAAGCTCCAATAAGGATCTTCGGATGCTGTACTGAGCACCAGGCTTACACCACCAGAGTTTGGGAGGGAATATCCTTCAGGAGTGGTGCAAAGCCCTTGTGGTAGACCTAAGGCTCCCATGGAATACCTTTAATATCCACTTGCATTCACCATGCCAAAAATATATAGAAATTTAGATACCTTTTTCATTAGATAGCTAACCATTTTGATAATCATCACTAAGATTCATGCTTTGGAGTAACAGTGATAAGAAAAACGGTTAATTTAAAACACCAATTTATTTTTGAAAAGATGAAAAAAGTATAATACTGAAAGTATAAATTATTATAGAGGCAAAAAAAGATAATAAAATCACTCCAATCTTAACAATTAATCTGTCTTTTCTATCTTTCCTGTCTTATGTGTTAACAAAATTTCATGTTTATATGAAAATTCTATAATTCTGTATATATTCTTTTCCTCTTTTTACGTTCACTAGAGAATAATTTATTGCAACTCAGCTTCAGTGCAAGACTCCTATGTAAAAATGTGTGACACTCCTGCTTACCCTATCAGAGTACTGCCTTCCTTCTGTAGCTTTGTAGAACTCTTCTGTCAAATATTTCAGATACTGGAATCTCTCCTTCGGGAATCTGCTTTGTCTTTCAGGCTTTGATTTTTGTTTCTAACTCTCCGCACTCACTAGTGAGGCCCTCTCTGCTATCTTGCTCTGACACTGCCTGATAGCTGCTATCTTGTTCTGCACCATAGTTTTCATCTTTTTGTCTATTTTCTCACCTTTTTTCTTTCACCGTTACACCTTCTCTCTAGGAGTGTTATAAGGCTTGGTGTGTGCAGAGCCATAGGGGACACCTACGAATGGTAGCCTTCTATTTGGAGAGTCCCTAGTGGTAGAGCTTTCTTAGGTAGATCCCAGGTAGAACTCATAATTCATATGGTGACACTATTACTATCTGAGCTGGCTCTTCCTCCTTACTGATGAAGGGTCATGGTAATATAAACATGCTAATATAAGCTTAAGCTTTCTACCTTCTTCAGAGATTTACACTTTACTTCCTGTAGCTCTAAACTATAAGAATGATCTGGAGGAAGGGTAGAAGCCTAGGAAGAAAGGGAATAAGTTACAGGATGGTGGAGGGGAAACCTGGTTGGCCTTGTTACTTTTGTGTGAGATGCTTAACTGTGTTCACTACTGGATAGGGAGAGGCTCTTATCAGTCTTCTTGACTAAAGGTTCAAAGAGGTCATGTGTGTCACCCAATATGCCCAAAAGCTCACCTGATATGTTTCTAGATCATTTATACCCAACATGGCACCAAAGCTAAACTTTTTAAGCTCCATTTTCTCCAACATTTAACCTGGCCCAGTTGCCAGAGTTATGAGCCCCAGCTTCCACCCACAACCAGTCTTTTAGAAATAGAGCCTGCATTAGCCCTCTCACCCATGAGCTTGAAGTGTTTGGCTACCTCAAGATAGTAATCTAAGAGAACCAGCCTCCCTTCAAACCCTCAATCCATCTGATGGCAGGGGCACATCAAGTCCCCTCCAATGACTTGCTGTTCAGAAATCTGATTTTGATTGTGTTTTGTGGCACTTTGCTGGAATCAAGGAATGTGTGAAATTCTAAGGCGTCTTGGTGGTTACCACAAGGCTGAGGCTGCATGCTGTGGATGCTCCATGGCTCTGCCCCAAGTTTGCTGCTGACACCACTGCCATCTGGAGCAAAAGCCAGTGCTGGGAGGACCGCTGCCTCTGATAAGCCACAGCGACCCAAATTTGTGAGAGGGGAGAGGGAAAGTACACACTTGTGGAGATCTCTATATCTAGGGCAGGTGGAACACAATACACACCCCATTGTTTTTGTGAATTTCCTTTGTTTACCATAGTGAGTTGCAATTCTGGGGATCTGAAATCTGATATAAAGTCAAGGTGACATCAGAGCTGCTGCTTCCAGAATCTCAGAAAAATCCAAGTCTTTGCCTTTTTCAGCTTCTGACAACTGTATGTAGCTTTTGACTTGCACCTCTTCCTTCGTCTTTAAATCACATCACTCTTATCTGCATTTCATCATGATTAGCCTCCTTGACTAGCTCCTCTTGCACCCTTTTTATACAGTCCAATGCTATTATAGTAATCCAGGATAATCTCCTCATTCAAAATCTTTAATTGCATCTGCACAGTCCCTTTTGCCAAATAAGGTAGCAGTCATGGGTTATGGGGATCAGGTTATGAGCATATTTAAGGAGAATCTTTCAGCCTACTAAAATTGTCTTGCTGAATAGTGTGAAGAAAATGAGTAGCTACTGGTAAGAAGATATAATTAACTTATAAGCTATATCAGAGCAAATTCTAGGTTGCTTAGAGGTCAGCAATATTTTCCTAGAAAGAAACAGACATTAGAGTTTGGGATGTACTGGCCATTTGACCTGCGCCATAACTTAGTTCTGCCACTATAGTATAGAGTAGGCTTGGTTAATACCAAAAGAAATGGGCATTTTTATGTTTCAAAAAAAAATTTGTTTATAAAAGCAACATAATTAATTAGATCCAGTCCATGAGCCATAGTTTACTGATCCTGGTTAAAGACACAAATGTTAAAAGAAAAATGCTAACGTACAAATAAGTAAATAGTATAGTTTTTTCTACATAATTTCTAAATGTAAAACCAAAAGTAATAATCATGAAAGAAAAATGTGAAAATTGGCTGTTGTAGAGATCAGAGAATTCCATTAAAATACTGAAATATAAATTGGGGGCAAAATAAGCTTTTTCAAGAATGGTACAAAGGGAACCATAAAGAGTAAAGCCCCACTGAAAACCCAAAAATAATCTTAAAAGTTTACCATTGGGAAGAT